TTCCATTTAAATAAAATTTCATCTTTATTCGATTCTTTTTCGAAAAAATTTTGGGGATGTTATTTTTTTAAGATTTTTTTCAGATTTAATTATTTATAATAGTTATTACCAGCTAAATTAATTAAAAATTAATACATTATTGTAATTTCTCGAAGAATTCTTATATCTAGTGATCACTGACTCCATTTAAATAAAAATTCATCTTTATTCGATGATTCTTTTTCGAAAAAATTTTGGGAATATTATATTTTTAAGATTTTTTCAGATTTAATCATTTACAATAATTATTACTAGCCTAATTTATTAAAAATTAATACCTTTTTGTAATTTTTCGAAGAATTTTTATATTTAGTAATCATTGACTTCCATTTAAATAAAATTTCATCTTTATTTGATTCTTTTTCGAAAAAATTTTGGGGATGTTATTTTGGTTGTCTGTTTGAAATACTGATTTTCGTGTTTCGATTTTCATAAGATATAAGTATATAAGTATCAATAAAACTATATTACTCTATATTACTTTATAGTACTATAGGAACTCTATATTACTATTGAAATTTATATAAATATATATAAAACTATATTACTATATTACTATAGGAACTCTATATTACTATAGAAATTTATATAAGTATATATAAAACTATATTACTATATTACTATAGGAACTCTATATTACTATAGAAGTAGTAACAGAGAAAATTGAAGGCAAAACAAATCTAAAAAATCTCTTAAAGTACAAAACAAATCTATGTACTCTTAGTCTCACGAAAAATTAAGCTCAAGATGAATAACACGCTACTGTGTCCAAATGTGCAATAACACTAATTGGGACTTATGAAATCCAACTCTGCCAGAAATGTTCGCGTTACGTAAACTACATGTATACAGGAGCGTTGTCATAATACAGAAACCAGTTTGCGTTGCATCATTGTGATCTTTTGTTACGATCATTATCGTGCAATTGCTATGAAAGTCACGATAAAAGTTCTCATCATTCTTTTTATCAGAAGGAACAAATTTCTCTTGTATAATTTCTATAATTTCAAAAAACTCTCGACTAGCACATTTTTCGCTGAACTTTGTCGAGTGTGCCTGACATCAGTTATCACAAGAACTCCTATGTCGAGTAACATTCGACGTTTCTCTTTTTATTTACTGAACAAGAAAACAGAAAGCAAGTAACTACATGAATTATTTAACTCTTTGCGACACAGGATTTTAGATAATGAAATAAACCCATAGAAATTTTATTGCGTTTTAAATGAAACAAAATTGGCATAGAACTAATTTTTATAAAAATTAACTTACGTTTATGATTTTTCATATAAAATCAGGGAAAAAAGATTGTCGCAATGAACCTTCCGCTTGCAACAATTGATGAACCTATACTGGCATGTTGAATGTTACCAACACGAGCGAATACCTTTATAACGTTTGTCGAAGGTATTACCAACTGCTTTGCGTACAGTCGGCCCCATAAGTATTCGTCCACATATCGCTGTCGACGTATGTATAGGGAAAAGAAAATAAAGATATACGTAAAATTAAAATAAAAAATATAGAAAATGATTTTTATTAATACAAAACAAGCTGACAAATTTTTCATTATGTATAGTAACTATGAATTTCACAAAATTTCAGCTTGTTTTGTATTAATAAAGATTAATTTCTATATTTTTTATTTTAATTTTGTGTGTATCTTTCCTTTCTTTTCTCTATACATACACCGACTGCGATAGGTGGACGAATATTTAGGCGGTCGACTGTAAATAAGATGAAGTATAAACCTATGCGTATGCAGCTATTGCAGTATTTCGAGGTGGGACAAAATTGTCCCACAATGTGATGCATTCCGGTGCATCAAAAAGGAGGGACACTTTTAATCCTTTGCAGTCGATGTCTCTGCAGTGGGGACATTCTCAAGTCGAAAAATACAGAAAACTACAGAAAATTAGAGAAATTAAAAATTTTGTATTTTTACGTATTATATGTAGTATTAAAAACATATCAGTTTCAACAAATTCTGTGCGTTTTAATATTCATATATCGACTTTAAATTCTGTACGGAAAAGTAACAGCGAAACACTAAACTTGCTCTATCGAAATCTACCGACCGCAAAGGGTTAATCCCACCACGCCCCAAAGAGTTAACCCATTTGCATCTAAGCGCGGAATATTCCGCGGGCAACGATTATCGACTATCACTGAGCGCGGAATGTTCCGCGAACCACGACGGTCGATTATCACCGGGCGCGGAATATTCCGCTAGCCACGACTGCCATCTATCACCGAGCGCGGAATATTCCGCTAGCCGCGACTGCCATCTATCACCGAGCGCGGAATATTCCGCTAGCCACGCCTGTCGACCATCACCGAGCGCGGAATAATCCATGAGCCACGACTGTCGCCTACCACCGAGCGCGGAATATTCCGCGAGCCACGACTGCCATCTACCACCGAGCGCGGAATAATCCGCGAGCTCTGACTTTTCCATTACCAGTCGCTGAGTATTCCTCGTACGGCACAGTTCACGTTTGATCCCCTTTGCGAGCACCTCGCCTATATCGGTTCATTATATTCTTAACAAGTTTTACTTTCGTACAGAAGATTGGTGGTTGACGGTATATATATTTATTTAATAATAAATTAGCAGTGTTAAAGTATGTGAGTAACGATAAAAATACGAATTATTACAACTCATCACAACGCTCAACTTACACTTCTACACCAACTATACTATTACAACTCACAATTATTAGCAACAACTCTGGCAACTAACTTCGACGACACTCCACTGACTTAACAACTCTCAAATCGACAACTCTGCTGTTCACGACTCTCTTAACCCTTTCACAACGGAAGGCGTATATATGTAGGAATGGTGAGCGTGGTCGGTCTTATGAGCAGTAAACACGGCTCGCGGAATATTCCGCGCTTGGTGATAGTAGACAGTCGCGGGCTCGCGGAATATTCCGCGTTCGAACGAAGGCTCGCGGAATATTCCGCGCTTGAACGATAGCTCGCAGAATATTCCGTGCTCGAACGACGGCTCGCGGAATATTCCGCGCTTGATGACAGTAGACAGTCGCGGGCTCGCGGAATATTCCGCGCTTGGATGCAAATGGGTTATATAAGGGTGCATGGACGTGAAACGAACAGTTCCAAAGAGAGTTCTGTGAGAGATAGTCAGTGCGAAAGGTCACAGCGTCTAGCCTTAAATCAGTTCACAATAAATCATACTTTTATTATCTACCACCGTCCTTTTGCTGCCTCCGAAACAATTCCTACATATATACGTTCACACAAGTCCATCAATATATACGAAAGACGTATAAATACGTTCTCTGTATTTTTGTCCTATAACACCTTCCCTATTTTACCAATTGATTCACCATGGAATTTATCGTACCATGTAATATCGCAATTAAACTATCGACAATTGTTTCAAAGTATTTTTCAGTGAATTGTTATAATATTTGTTGTAATATTGCAGTTATAAAGTGCAAAAAAGTATTTGGCGTGACACGCGTTCGTTGGTGAATATACACACAGTGAACAATATCAATTGCAACAGTTTTTCAGATGCCAGAGATATACTTTTAATCTATAGCAGAGTGATTCTCGGATGTTACTTTCTGATTTACACAGATTTTTGCTGACTACTCTCTATGTCTTCTAATAGCTTGAAAAATTACTTAAACTAAATAAGAAATGGATATTTTAAATTTATTTGCAATTACTGTTTTTTAAATCCTAAGAACGGTACCAAATCTACAAGTACCGTTTTGGTCACTGGTCTGCATAGCCCAGCAACTGTCGTTTGAATAACGCGCCATTCTTGTTGATGGATTGCTCCGCAGTGAAAGGGTTAACTCAAATGTCCTTGTCCTTTTATATTCTTCTTCTCACCATGCACACCCTGCACGCGTTTTCCAATGCCTCCCCTAACATAACCAAATATAGTCGCGCTTAGGGCCTGACGCATCGTCTAGGCTTTTTCCTACTGATCTGGCCTTCGAAAACGTGTACACGCAGTGGAAAACTTACAATATTACATTTTTGTCGTGGAAATTTTTTGAACCCCGCTGGGGCCCTAGGACCGCGAGTCCCAAGCTAACACATTGAGCGCCGGCGGCATATGAGACATTTAAAGCCTGAGTGCCGGCCTCATTCGCTTGTTCCCGAACAACGAGTAGCTAAAGAAAATATTTAAAACTTATACATTTTCTTAAAATACTATATTTTCATTGCATATTCGTCATTCTGTGGACATTTCGCTATTACTAGAATCGTCGGAATCACTCGAATATCGTAATGGAACAGCTCTTGATATTCTCCTTGGACCCAAATCACTATCACTGTCCTCGACTCGTAAGTCAGAATCTTCCGAATGTATCGAATAATCTGATAGAGGGTCAGCGATATACTCGTTAAAAACTTCGCTCATATTATATGGATAAAAAGTTACAGAATAATAAGACTTATTATATTGTTCAACGAAAAGCGTAAACCTACGAAAGGGGTACTAACTAAGGAATACACTGCTTGAGAGTGATTCTCGCTTTGATTGTTTCTGAACCGTCGTATACGTTTTATTTTCAGAGTATAACAAACGCAGATTGTCGTAAACGTGACAAGTGAATGCAAATTGACGTGTAAGACATCCATACGAGCAAAAGAAAATCCTCATCATCGTGAGGGTGAGAGTCAAGTGACAAACTTAGAAACCCGCATTATCGCGGGCCCGGCGCTCAAGCGACAGACTCAGAAACCCGCGTTTTCACGGGACCAGCACTCAATGTGTTAAGCCAGTGACTGTTTTAAGTCCTTATTGTCAGTATCTCTTGACTCGTGGATACTCGTTGTCATCTGGTCACCACTTGGGTGAACCTTAGCAAGGGTCAATAGATCACCCAAATTATTTAAACATCCACCACCACAGAAAGACGTCGAAGTTAACACACATCCCCAATATTATTCACAACCAATAGGAAGAGCAGTCACGAGGGAGTTCTAAAAATCCCAAGAAGACAAAACGAGCATCACGATCAGACAGTCAAGACAGACCCACGACGATCATTGAACGCGAGAGACTGTCACGCTTCATCAGAACTCTTTAGTGCACCCCTAACCAGGTCTCAGAGTATTCCGCATCCCAACAACTCTGTCGCATCCGTGTAAACGGGCCTTACGACCCCGCGAAACTCCCACTGTGCGAGTTGCAGTATTCGGGACGCAACAACTGTCATTATGCGTAAGTGCTGTCAATCTATATTTAAATCTAATAAATCCAAATTTACAAAATAATCTAATTTTGTAATTTGAACTAAAATTTAGTTGCCTCAATGGATTTTGACCATCTTTACGATTCGGATTCAAGTATGGAATTAGGACATATTCGAAAACGTATGCGACGCATTGCATCAAGCGATGACAGCGAAGTCGATGAGTGCTGTAGTTTAATAAACGAAGATTACGCGTGGAAAGCTGAAAATCATACGCCAATTGTACACGACTTTTCAATCGTGGCTGGTGCAACGGTAAATACGCAAAATCTCTCGAGAAGGGAAGTTTTTGAATTGTTTTTTAACGAAAAATTAGTTGGAAAAATCACATCAGAGACAAATAAAAATGGCGCCACCGACGCAGGTTTTATGCCTCTTACCAACGACGAGCTAAAAGTATTTATCGCCTTAAACATTTTAATGACTTTAGTTTCCAAGCCCACTATTCAGAGTTATTGGTCCACGGACAAAAGCATAGAAACGCCGTATTTTAAGAATATTATGCGCCGTTACCGATTCCTCTCTATCGCTAAGAATTTACATTTTTCCGGTAATAACGATTCTAACGACACACTCGTAAAAATTCGAGAAGTCTCTAAAATAGTGAAACAAGCTTTCATTCGCATGTATATTCCGAATAAAAATATTTCGATCGACGAAACGTTAGTGCAATGTAGCAGTCGTTTACTTGGTATTAAGTTTCACAAACTGTGTGACTCGAAATCGAGATACATACACAATTTCAATATACATGTAGGAAAAGATAATATTAATACTGGATCTGGTAGCAGAAATATCGTGATAAATTTGTTGAAAGAGAGTGGACTATTGCACAAAGGATATTGCGTGTTTATGGATAATTGGCACAGCTCGCCGGCCTTATATCGGGAACTATATAATAAGCAAACAAACGCGTGTGGAACAGCGAGTATGAATAGGAAAGAAATGCCTCAGGAATTAAAATTTCAGTATTTACAAAAGGGCGAGGCTGTCGTATTTTCTACGAGAGATATGGCGGCGATAAAATGGAGGGATAAGAAGAACGTCGTTTTACTGACAACTATGCATGGCTTAGATTTTGCCGAAACGGGGATAACAAACCGATATACCGGACAAAAATGTTTGAAACCCACGGCAGTGATAGATTACAATCGATATATGGGCGGAGTAGACATTGGCGATCAAATTTTAAGCAAATTTCACAGTATGCGAAGGTGTAGAGAACCCTATAAGCAAATATTTTTTTATTTGATAGACATGATGTTATTAAACAGTTACGTGATTTTTAAAAACCACAAGAGAGACCGAGCTTTTCATGTTTACAAGCAAAAATTAGCGGAAGAAATTATTGAGAAATATTTACCAAATGTGAAAGTAAGCGAGGCATGTAACAGTGATTCGATAACTCGATATACTGGCAGGCATTTTCCTATGCGGATACCTGCAACTGCAGCAAAAGGAAACAGAACATCAAAGCGATGCGTTGCGTGCTTAGCTGAGTCTGTTCGAAGAGAAACAGTTTTTAAATGCGACATTTGCGACGTAGCATTGTGTATTGATCATTTTAAAGAATTCCACGAGAAGTAATTTATTATTTTATTTGTAAAATAATTTTTATTATTTTTGTTTTCTATAAAAAAATGTAAAATGCGATGTTCGAGATGTAACATTGTGTATCAGTTGTTTTAGAAAGTACCATGTTAAATAAACTTCATGAGCAATTCGGAAGTCATTTACTGCAATCATACAAAAGCCAATCGTCAGTTGAACGTCGCTGATGCCTGAACATGGCACCATGGCATCATGAGCTACTGTGTAGACTCGTAATGCAAATGGGTTAAATCGAAAATATAAATTACAACAAAATTTGAGAACAATATTTAACCCTCTATGGACCCCTGTAACTTTCAAGTTGCATGCTAATGTATGGGTATTTTATTAAATACTGCATTCAACGTTATCGTCTTGATCACTCCAGTTCGCGATTTTTCTGTCGATATATTTATAATTATTTTTACAATACCTCCCGTGATTCCATTTTTAAAAATTCTAATTCTTTTTCATTTACCGGTTATTCGATCATGATAGGTTAGGTCCTCTATGGCCCCCTATGACCTTTTTTCCACAAGATGGCGTGGAAAATTATCTTATCTATTGCACATTATCTTGGCACAATAGTACAAACGTTGGTAATTCAAACTTTCAATATGAATTCGTTATAATAAAATTGTCAAAACTGCTGAATTTATTGCTTGATATTTGTTGATTTTGTGTTACATACAATTCTTATAGTCAAGAAAAATATATATTCGGTCCATAGAGGGTTAATATAATCAGTAACCAAATTCTTTAAAATAAGTAACAGTCGAGGAACTTTTCTGTGAAGCAGATTTCAAAGAAAATACTTAAAATGGTAGGGAATTATTGGCAAGAAATTTGAAAAATAATTCGGAATGCAAAAGATTGAATATTTGGGACATAAATTAAAAATATAAATTACAACAACGTTTGCGAGCAATATTTGATATAGTCAGTAACCAAAATTGTTTAAAATAAGTAACGGTCGAGGAATTGTTTTGTGCAGCAAATTTCAAAGAAAATACTTCAAATAGTAGGGAATTATTGACAAGAAATTTGAAAAATAATTCGGAATGCAAAAGATTAAGTGTTTGGGACATAGAACAAATGTGATCGCATGCAAGGGATGTTTATGACAGAGTCGAGTGCGAGAAACGAGTGTAAGTTTACGAATGCATGTGTTTGAAGTATCACAGAGGTCATGAGAGAAATGGATGATTGAGGACGAAAGTCTGCGTATGCAAGAAGACAGAGCGTAAGGTTAACACGTTGAGTGTCACGTCGGTCCCCAGGGACCGGCACTAGACTTTCCGTTCGGGCCCGGCCGGTCCTCAGGCACCGGCCCAAACTAGGACCGAAAGGTGCTAACTTTTGGTGTTAAATTCTTCGCCATCTTTGGATCTAATGTTTGGGAATTCCTGTTATAACAATTGGTACAGTACCTCCGAATTTTATGAACACTTCACCTGCCACCGGTAGCCTACTTGAGGGTCGAGTCTGGGCCTGAATGGAATGGCAAGCAAAACGGGCTGGGCACTTAACGTGTTAAATAGGGGTACAAGGATGCGTACAAGTCAGTTATACATCCTTAAGTCAGGATGTTTCAACCCTCGTCTAGCCGACACCGGGTCACCGTTGACCCGAAATTTGAGCGTAGCGAAGAAGCGGCAACATCAAAAGGGTTAATTTGTCTTATTCTTTCAAGTCGGAAGCAGTGATCGCTTGTATGGTATTCGCAGTAGGATTACAGCTTTCTCTTCGAGCGATAATAACGAACCTAATTTTGGTTTTTACGATCTCCGTTGACACGAAGGTAGGTTCATCACTCACTGTTGGCAATCTGAGCAGGTGAAACGCGCAGATTTCTCTGATCGGCTGTTGCCTGGATCTCGTGTGCAGCTTTCATTGTTCGTCGTTCCCAATTCTTTTAGTTTTATTGATATAATTTAACACATTGAGCGTTGGTCCCGTGAAAACGCGGGTTTCTGAGTCTGTCGCTTGAGCGCCGGGCCCGCGATAATGCGGGTTTCTAAGTTTGTCACTTGACTCTCGCCCTCACGATGATGAGGATTTTCTTTTGCTCGTATGGATGTCTTACACGTCAATTTGCATTCACTTGTCACGTTTACGATAATCTGCGTTTGTTATACTCCGAAAATAAAACGTATACGATGGTTCAGAAACAATCAAAGCGAGAATCACTCTCGAGCAGTGTATTCCTTAGTTAGTACCCCTTTCGTAGGTTTACGCTTTTCGTTGAACAATATAATAAGTCTTATTATTCTGTAACTTTTTATCCGTATAATATGAGCGAAGTTTTTAACGAGTATATCGCTGACCCTCTATCAGATTATTCGATACATTCGGAAGATTCTGACACACGAGTCGAGGACAGTGATAGTGATTTGGGTCCAAGGAGAATATCAAGAGCTGTTCCATTACGATATTCGAGTGATTCCGACGATTCTAGTAATAGCGAAATGTCCACAGAATGACGAATATGCAATAAAAATATAGTATTTTAAGAAAATGTATAAGTTTTAAATATTTTCTTTAGCTACTCGTTGTTCGGAAACAAGCGAATGAGGCCGGTGCTCAGACTTTAAATGTCTCATATGCCGCTGGCGCTCAATGTGTTAACATTACATCTGCTTTGTTTTGTCGTATGACTCATGTTTTACAGAAAAATTAATTCTGAAAATTTATTTATTGAGTTTGTGTATTCGATAAATTAATATCCAAATCAAGGGCGATTTTGAAAGCAGTTTCCTACGTGCAATGAAATTTTGCAGGATGAATATACGCATGCTGTCCAGTCTTGTTCCTTCCTTTTCAGGCAGTGCAAATTTTGTATGCTATTCCAGAAGTTTTAGCTTTTCTCTGCCCGATAGTTTTCATTATTTTTCTTTGCAACATACTGTCCGGCAACTTACTTCGTGGATTATATTTCGTGACTCTACTTATAGGCAGTTGTTCGTATTGGCATTCAGATACCTCCATAATTTTGACTTGTGTGATATATATATATACATTGAATTGCATATTATTTATTTTGAAAATGGTGCAAGTCCATTTTCTGTTCTTTCGAGAAAATTAAAGGTTAGCATATTTGTCAATTGAAAAATGTAGATTAATTATGTCAGGTCTGTGTAATATTTCTACTAATTTATCAACATATAATTTTATTATATAAATTACTTTTAGGCGAATTTAATTAAAATAATGTATATTTACGGGTTGCAAATGGACTTACACCACTTTCATAATTAGCCAATTGTAAAAATCGTTTAATTTCAATTTTGAAAAATTAAATTTCGCTTAAAATATATTTCGTATAAATCCAATTTTGTTTATAAATAATAACGAGAAATAAAATAGGAGTAGTATTTTTTATTTCGAATTTTAATTATATTTATATATCGTTAAACTTAACATAAGATATTGGTGTTATTTATTTATGCTCTTCGTGTTTTGAAATATTCATAATGCACAGCAGGTATATAAGGTAATAACTGCTCCATATCCTTATATTTTTCGTATGTAATAGACCTCGTATCGTGATACAAAGGCGACAGGGCGATTTTTCAAATTTTGGCGGTCTTCCCGACATGTAGGTAATAAATATAGTTTTAAATTCTGTGTTCATGTCATAAAATAATATTGATTTACTATTTCTTCTTACCTATATCTCTGTCTGACGTTAATATGAAATTATCCATTTTTGGAGGAAAATAAAATAAGTAACCAAAAATAGTAACTTTCGATACCTGAAATAAAACAAATGTAATCATCAGTGGCCACTGACCCTGCCACCTGTCTATGGAAATTAGATTTACACGATTTTCATAATCAATGGTTAGGCAATTTCTTTTATCAGCCAATTTTAAATTGAACGAAGCATTGACATTTTTTAAGATATTAAATGCTACTTAGTTATGAATAAAAAGTTTACACTAAATTAAGCATAAGTTTCGTGATATCTCGTTTTGTTTTAAAATGGACTTACACCACTTTCAAAATAAACGGTTCATATATGTATATATATGGAATTCAGTATGTACGTCGACCAGCTGGTCAAAGATTCAACATGCTTTATTAAATTAAAATTTTAAAACATAGAAAAGGGAGCATTATGGTTTGGGATGCTTTTTCGTGGTGTTGATCCATTACGACAAATTAACTGTATAATGAAGAAGGAACAGTTCGAAGAAATATTAAAGACAAACGTGTTACCTTATGCAAGGAAAATCATAGACGAAAATTGAATATTCCAACATGATAATAATCCAAACCACGCCTCTATGCTTAGTACAAAATTAATATTTGCGGACCACAATGTCTCTAAATAGGCAAAATATTCCGATAGTATAAGAAAAATAGAATAACCGAAAATGATCATAGATTATAGCAAATATACGTGTGTTGTCGATGTGGCAAACAATACACGACATCTCATTATCTTTTACATCGATCACACAAATGGTGGAGGAAATATTTCTTTTGGAAATTAAAATTTAGTTCTTCATTTCCTTATTTAAATTGTCTTATTTTTTAGTTAAAAGAAAATATAAATTATAACAATGTTTGAGAGCTGTATTTAATGTAAAGAGTGAACAAAATTGTTTAAAATAAATAGCACTCGAGGAACTTTGAAGCAAATTACAGATAAAACAGTTAAAATAGTAGGGAATTATTGGTAACAAAATTGACAAATAATTCGAAATGCAAAGGGTTAATTATATTTATCAAATTTATTATTTGATTATTCGATTTGATATTATTTATTATTATATTTATCAAATTTATTATTTGATTACTTGATTTGATATTATTTATTATTATATTTATCAAATTATTAATTGTATTTACAAAATTTATTATTTGATTATTTGATTTGATATTATTCATTATTATATTTATCAAATTATTAATTATATTTATCATAGCGCCACTGAAGGTTGCTGTGCCAGTCATCCACGATTGCCGGTGACACGACAGCCAACGTGTCG